AACTGTAGATGCATCTAAGGAAACTCATCGGGCCACACAGGTATTATCTTGCTCCATGAGTGTTTAATATGCTGCTCAGAAGGCTACTTCATGACACTTGTCACCTGGCTACATCCTCATTAAGCTAGGAACAACTTAAAGATAAGAATTCCTTTCAAACATGATGAGAAGCAAATCCCTATCTAATTCGGATATACCAAGTAAAACTCCAAGCAGTAAAATTACTCTCATTATAGTATAACCTAGATGTTTTCCCATCCTCTCCACTTTCCCTTCCCCTTTTCCATAAGTCCCTTAAGCACACAGTAGCACCCGGCAAATATTTGTTGTGTTGAATGAATGGATTGGCTCAGTTTGATTTGAAAATGCCTAACTGTTCTGCAATAAAGGGAACTCAATTTGTGACCAGACCTTTAGCCTCCTGGGGTGGAAATGAGGCAGGACAGGCCACAGTACTCATGCTGGTAACCCATTGAAACCTTGGAAATCAGGCACTTAGGGGATGTTAAGAGACCAAGGTGGCTGGGACAGGGAATGGAAGAGGTTTTCTGAATTTAGCAAGGGCCTTTTACAATGAGATGGCTCGTGGCCCTCAATCCCTGGCTGTACACATGTCTGCTTCTGCTCCACCCCCTAAGTCTGCTGGGGACCGGCCGAGTCAGCTGTCCTGTGGCCTCTCCAAGGCAAAGCAAACTGGAATCAGAGCACCAAAATGGAATGCCAGTTTGCCTCCTGGGGGCATAAATGTAAATGTTGCCCTTCTAGTTCTGGCAGAAAGGAATTAATTCAAGCCCTCAGCATCTTCTTTCATCCCCAGATGGCCAGCCATCACCTGTGGGCCTCCCTGGCTCCTATCCTGCTCTTCTCCAGTCATGCTCCCCGTTGTCTACAACATACATCTTATTATTCACTGCCTACTTCCTGCCTACAGGATAAAGTCCAAAGCCTTGCCAGGGCATTCAAGGTCCTTTGCAATTCGGCCCCAACCTACACGTCCAGCTTTACTGCCTACAGCCAGTGCATCGGCCATACCTAACTCCTGCCCACTAGCGCCCTGCTCTTTCATATTTCCCAGCCACTGACTGAAAGGCCCTTCCTCCTGTTTTCTGTCTGGAGGACTCTGACACCTCTTTCCAGACCCTTCTCAAATGCAGCTTTCTGTGAAATGGACCTGCCAGCACCCAGTGCCTTCCTGAATGCTTTCCTAAGTCTTTACTCAGCCTGGAATTCCCTTTTCCAACTCACAAATTCCTAGTCTCCTTCAGGACTTGGCTCTAGTGTTGCTTTCAATTTTTTTTTTTTGGAGGAAGATCAGCCCTGAGCTAACATCTGCTGCCAATCCTCCTCTTTTTGCTGAGGAAGACTGGCCCTGAGCTACCATCCATGCCCATCTTTCTCTATCTTATATGTGGGACGCCTGCCATGGCATGGCTTCCTGAACAGTGTCATGTCTGCACCCAGGATCTGAACTGGAGAACTCTGGGCTGCTGAATCAGAATGTGTGAACTTAACCACTGTGCCACTGGGCTGGCCCCGCTTTCAATTTTTTTTTTTTCTGCTTTTCCTCCCCCAATCCCCCCAGTACATAGTTGTATATTTTAGTTGTGGGTACTTCTAGTTGTGGCAGGTAGGACACTGCCTCAGCATGGCCTAATGAGCGGTGCCATGTCCGTGCCCAGGATCTGAAGCGGTGAAACTCTGGGCCGCTGAAGCAGAGCATGCAAGCTTAACCACTCGGCCACGGGGCCAGCCCCTGCCTTACATTTTAAAAAAAATGTTTATTGACGTAATTTTGGACTTAAACGGAAGGTGTAAGAATAGTACAAAGAATTCTTGTACATCTTTCACCCAGATTCTCTAAATATTAATGTTCTGCCACATTTGCCTTAAAATTCTCCCTATTTGGACATCTAATTTTTTCTGAGCTGTTTATGAGTTATTTGCAGACACTACGCCCATCCACTCCTTCGATGCATATGTTTTCTAAAACCAAGGACATTCTCTTTGGTAGTTACAGAACAATTATCAGGATTCAGAAATTAACTTTGATACTAATTATTATCTATTATATAGATCTTACTCAGATTTCACAAATTATCCCAATGAAGTCCTTTCTAGCAAAAAAAGTCCCAGATCATGCATTGCATTAAGTTGTTACATCTCTTTAGGATCCTTTAATCTAGAGTGGTTCCTTGGTCTTTTTTTTTCTTTTTTTGGTCTTTCAAATTGACATTTTTAAAGTGTCTAGGGCAGTTATTTTGTAGAAAGTACCTCATTGTAGGTTTGTTTAATGTTTCCTCATGATGGGTTCACGTTGTACAGATTTGGCTGGAGTATCCCAGAGGTGATGTTGTGTTCATCTTGGTGTATCATATCAGGAGGTATATAATGTCACTTTATCCCATTTCTGGTGATGTTAACATTGGTCAATTGGTTGATTTGTCAACATGTCTGACTCCTCCCCTGATCCATGTGGCCCTTCTCAAGGTCAAGGAGGGACTCAGCCTGATTCATCCTTGTGTCCTGGTACCTGAGGATGTGGAGATGCAGGGAGGTGAGGAACAAACACCAGCTGAGCCCTTCTGTGTGCCCGGCTCTGTGGCTGCGTCTCATCTAAGCCTCACAGCAACCCTGTAAGTTAGAGGATGTTGTGGTCATTTTACAGGTGTGCTCCGCGAAGATGAGTAATTTGCCTAAGGGCACTTGACTGGTAAGTAGCAGATCCAGATTCAGATCCAGGTCTGTCTGCCACTTCCCATAACACTAATGTGCTGGAGACAATAGACAGTCAACAACGTTCATTGCTTTGAATGGATGTTTAAAAAAAAATTTAAACAGAAAAATCTAACACCAAGACCATCAAAAAACAACACTCTCCTTCATCAATGAGGATACTTTTTATTCATTTATCCCTTCAACAAATATTTATGGTGGGTCTACCACGTACTAGGCAGTAATATAGGTAATAGGGATATAGTAGTGAGCAAATAGCTTATGTTCTAGTGGGACTGTGCAAATACCAGAAAATCCAACTAAAGTGGCTTGAACGATAATAAGATAGCTAGTGGCAGAGCAGCTCTAGCGTCAATTAATTTAGTGGCTCAAATGTCATGGCTAAGATTTGTGTTCTCTGAAATTCTCTTAGCTTTCCCTTTGGAGATGCAAATGTTTGCCTTAGTTTTAAGCAAGATATCCTTAAAGGAAACAAAGGAGACATTCCTGTCATGGTCCCTGTAAATGGGAAAAGAAAGTCTTGCTAGAATCTTCTCAGCTGACTTGTCTTCCACCTCATTGGCCAGAACTATGTCACCAGTTCATGCCTAAATCCACACCTGGCAAGAGGAACGGGCTGCCAAGGCTGGCTTGGGCAATCTCACTTCATGCCCCCACCACCCAGACTACTGCCAGACCCAACCTTCCCCAAAGCACTTGGTTGTCAGAAGAGTAGGTGGAGCATGAACAAAATGGCATTTTTCTTTCTTTCTTCTTCTCCCCCAAACCCCCCAGTACACAGTTGTATATTCTAGTTGTAGGTCCTCCTGGTTGTGCCATGTGGGACGCCGCCTCAGCATGGCCTGATGAGTGGTGCCATGTCTGCGCCCAGGATCCAAACCAGAGGAACCCTGGGCCGCTGAAGCAGAGTATGCGGACTTCACCACTCGGCCACGGGGCCAGTCCCACAATTTTCTTTCAACAAGGCAAGAGGGGGAAAGGCTGTCGAGTAGGAAACTTACAATATTTGTCAAATCTCCCATTCACTAATTTATCAAATATTTACAGAATCTATGGCTTCTTAGAAACTCTTGTTTATACAAATACAAATTTGCTTCATTGCTATTCCTTATGTTCATTATATCAAGTTCTACTTTTTTTGCTTACTAAGTCATTTGTCTCTCTCTTTAGCTATCCCAGTATCTCTTGTCTCATTCTAAAATAAGTTCTCATTTTCATGAGTGTGTAGAATCTTAGCCAGGGAGGTTTAAAAAATATTTAATAACTAATTCTAGGATGTGCACTGACCGCTGCACAAGGTAGGGTCCTGGAGGGTCCTGCTGGGCCAGGCATTCACCATTTAGTTTCTGGATGGGGAGATCCAGGAGGATCCTAGTGGAGGGGCCAGGGGGGCTGGGGGGACACTCAGGCCCTACTGTTTACCAACTGGTATGAAGGTGTTTATTTCGATATTTTTAAAAATTTATTTTTTATTGCAGTGTAATTGACATATAACATTATATTAGTTTCAAGTGTACAACATAATGATTCGATATTTGGATACATTGTGAAATGATCACCACAGTAAGTCTAGTTAACATCCATCACAATACATAGTTACAAATGTTTTTTCTTGTGATGAGAACTTTTAAGATCTACTCTCGTAACAATTTTCAAACATGCAATACAGCCTTACAAACTGTAGGCACCATGCTGCGCGTTACACCCCCATGATTTGTTTTATAACTGGAAGTTTGCATCTTTTGCCCTCCTTCACCAATTTCTCCCACCCCTGACCTCTGATAACTACCAATCTGTTCTCTGTATCTATGAGATTGGTTTTTTTGTTTTTTAAGAGTCCACATATAAGTGAGATCATATGGTATTTGTCTTTCTCTATCTGACTTATTTTACTTAGCATAATGCCCTCAAGGTCCATCCATGTTGTCGCAAATGGCGAGATTTCATTCTTTCTTATGTCTGAATAATATATATATCACATTTTCTTTATCCATTCACGCATTGGTGCACGCAGGTTTTATTTCTGTATCTTGGCTGTTGTAAATAATACTGCAGTGAACATGGGGTTGCAGATATCTTTTTGAG